AAGAAAAGGGGGTCTCGAGTCAATGACTTCAGGTTTTGCCCTAAGAAACTAAAAAAAAAAAAAAAAAAAAATAAAAAAGGAAAAAGAAAAAAAAAAAAAAAAGAAACAAAGATCAGAAATGAATGAAACAGAAAAAAGTCAACGAAACTAAAAGCTGATTCTTTGAGACAAAAAAACTGGTCAGCCCCTAGCTAGACCAATCAGGAAAAATTAAGAAGACACATTAACAAATCAAGAACGAGAGAGGGGATTAACCCTAGACCATGCGGATAGAAAAAGGACAATAAGGGAATATTATTGACAACTTTATGCCAATAATTTTGACAATTTAGATGAAATCGATGAACGCCTTAAAAGACATAAACTAGCAAAGCTCACTCCAGGAGCGAGACCGCGGTCAGTGCCCAGAGCATCTGCATGGCCACCGGACCCATGGGGACGCCGTCTGCCACTCTCTTCCCGTGCACGTCCGTCCCTAACCAGAACCGCACTGCGAGGCCGCGCCGCCCGCGTCCGCCTCGCCGCCCGCCGGCCCGCTGGCTCCTGTGGGCTCGGGCTGCGGAGAAGCGGAGACTGGGAAGCATCTGGAAGACGGTGGACCTGGAACTAGGAGGCTGAAGAACCAATTCTAGACGGATCGGCAGAACCTCCAGGCTCAGCCTGCGAACCTCCTTCTAGAAGCGAGAAACTAGGACGCGGCGTGCGAACCAAAGGCGGCACGGCCCTGGCTGGGCATGCAGGCTCGTGAGGGCCAAGGCGGGCTCGTCAGGCCACGGCGGCGAGCGACAGGATCCCTCCAGGCAAACGAGGGCCTCCCCAAAGGAAACCGGTGGCTGGAGGACGCCTGCACGGGCCCGAGGCGGGGAGCACGGGCAGTCCCCGCAGGAGCCTCGTCAGACTCATGTTCCACACCTGTCGGCCAAGGGCAGGGCAGGACACCTCGACCCGCGGCCCCGCCGCAGTGACGCCGAGGGGAAAGGCGTCATTCCCCAGAGGACAGAGGAGAAGTGAACAGGGCCGGGCAGACGAATGCCACCGAGAGCTGCGGGGACCAGAGACGCCAGCCCCGAGGTGGAGCGGGGACACGGGGTGGCGAGCGGCTCCGCCCCGCCAGCACCCCGGGGTCTGGCCAGCAGTGTGGCCCCGAAGGTTCGTAAGGGCACATGCGCTGGCTCGGCCGGCCACATCGGCTGTTAGTTACGCGAGGACCACAGTCCCCGGCCTGGGGGCGAGTGCAGGGGCTGGGAGGCCTGAGCTGGGTGACCTCGGGCCAGCCTCGGTCCCCTGGGTGCTTCTCCCCCGTCACATGACGGGGCGGGAGGAGCCAGGCTCCCTGGAGGTTCTCCGTGGCCCTCACAGGCCAGGCTTGGCGGGGACAGGGGCTCCGGGGCCACGGTCTCCGCACCGTGACATCCCCGGGCCACCCTGCCCGGGGCTCTGCACTCGCGTCTCCGTGGGGCTCCCCCTCCCACTTCCTCGACCTGTCTCCCCAGAGCGGCTTTCCCCAAAGACCCAGACAGCAGTTCACCGCCCCCCCGCCTCGCTCCCATCACCCTGCTTCCTTCCCTCGACACTGTCCCCACTGTGCTTGCTTACTTGTTCATTTTTCCACTGCCTGAAAGTCAGCCCCTGCGTCCCAGGCCGTAACCTCGGTGACAGCGGCGACTGGGCTGCCTGCTGGATCCCAGGCTGTGGCGCGCAGTAGGCTCGCCACACCCATGTGCTGGACTGAACGAACTTGTCACAGTGTCACAGGTTGAATCCTCCTCAGAAATCACCTCAGAGGGGCTAAGGTCAAAAGCGAATTCCAAAAGCGACAGAGTCTGCCTTTGGGCTTAAGCGGTTAAGGATCACATCTAGCACAGAAGAGTCTAGAAATCCAAAAGCGCGTGGGCCTCAGGAAGCCACTGCCTCGGGGCCGCAGGGCTGCCAGGAGAGGTGACAAACAGCCGTCTCGGTCCTCGGAACACCTGTACAAACAGGAGCTTGCCTATGCCCACCAAGATGGAGGGGCAGAGGAGAAAATGAGGAACAAACCATTTTCAGCTGCAAACTAAATTAAACTGACAAAGAAAGCAATACGACCTCAGCCCCACAATGAAAGCAAACCTTCTACATTCAGCCTAAGGAGAAACCACCAGTAACACTGTCTGACGCGTTGAACACACTTCTCTCGCCCCCATTTCCTTCAGCATCCTTTACGCAGAAGGGCTCTGAACCCAGTGCAACCGTCACAATACAAAAACGTACTAGGAATTTAACTTTTCAATAAAATAAAATTCGAGCATGGTATAGTTCCTTCTATCTTGATGTAAACGTCTAACCAACAGAGTATTAGTTACTTTACTGACCAACTGATTATTGCTTTTCTAAGAAAACACATCGACAGCACATGGTAGTTTTAAGATCTCAAAATCTACAGGAGCTTCAGGTTCCCGAAACCTATCCACGAAGAACATTTGAAATTTCCACTGTACGTCTCTAACTAAAGCGCAGACGTCTGGTAAATGCTAGACAGAGCGGAACGTGCTGCGACCTGAGACGCAGCCGCGTTGTGACTGCGCCCCCCACGTGCCGCCTCCGGGCGGGCGCAGAGTCTGGAACCCTGATCTGCCCGCTGGCTTGGCAAGGGCAGCCTTTCCGGAGGCGGCAGCCTCTGACACTGCGTGTTGACACAAAGACGTCGCTTGCTTTCTGTTCGCGGCTGCTCCGAACAGAGTAAATGGAGCTCCATGCGTCACTACGGCTCAGCTGCGTGCTAGTGGTTCTGCCACCACGTCTGGGACCGAGGGTTACCGACGGCCCGCCCCCCGCAGCTGCCCTTTCAGTTGACCTAATTTCACGGAATAAACCATAAACCTTCCAAAGAGTAAAAGTCTTATAACTATAAATCCTAAGAGAACATTCTTTGTAAAATCTTATTAAATGACCACAGAGAAATGTGGCGGGCAGCAAAGAGGACGAGGACGTGCTTCCTCGCTGACCACAACCCTCCACATCCCGTCACGTGGGCAAAGAATGACCCCGGCTCAAAGTCCACACTCCCCGCGCGCCCCACGACCTCCCCTGCCAGGCTGGTGGGCAAACAGCTGTCAGTGAGGCCGAAAGGACCGAAAAGATGCCACACAGCCCACGGCACCCAGTGCGGGAGGGAGCACACCGAGGGTCAGCTGAAGCCAGCGAGAGCTGTCCCCAGAATCAGGAGTGAGGCCAGGAGCCCCGCCCTCACCCCTTCCAGTCAACGGTTACTGGAGATGCCAGCCAGGGTGACAAGGCAAGAAAAAGAAATGAAAGTCACAAGGATTAAAAAGAGAACACGCTGCTTTATCACAGACGATAGACTGTGTATGAAGGAAACTCAAAACCACCTGCCGAAAGCTACCAAAATCCCCAGGTGAACTAAGCGAGATCACCGAGTACAAGGCCGACAGACAGAAATCTACTGCATTTCTACACACCAGCAACAAACAAACAGAAAAAAGGCTTTGAAAAAAGATACCATTTACAATAGCACCCAATATCGGCAAACGACCAGGGCTGGATCTACCAAAATACGTATAGGAACTTTACACATCAAACTGAGAAACATCGTAAGTGAAAATGAAGATCTAAATAAATGGAGGGACGTACGATGGACACAGACCTGGACGGTCAGGATGTCGATGTCCCCGAATTAACTGGTAGTCAATGTAATCTCAATCCAAATCCCCCAGAATGTCTTTGAAAACTGACAAAAGTAATTTAACACGAAGTGCAAAGGACTCGGCATAGCCATGTTAAGGAAAAACAGCCCTAAAAGACTCACACTACTAATGCTAAACATCAAGACTTATTACGCACCCACGAAATTAAGACGCTGATGTAAGAAGAGACAAAACGAGGGACAGAAGAGTCTAGAGCAGGGGTCCCCAACCCATGGGCCAAGGACCAGTACTGGTTCTGGCCTGTTAGGAACCGGGCCACACAGCAGGAGGTGAGCCATGAGCAGGTGAGCGAAGCTTCATCTGTATCTGCAGCCGCTCCCCAGGCCGGCATCACCGCCTCAGCTCCACCTCAGATCCTCAGGCGTTAGATGCTCCTAGGAGCACCGGTCCCTGGTGCCACAGAGGCTGGGGGCCGCTGCTCTAGAGTGAGAGCAGCAAATATAGTAATATAACTGTGGCAGAGGCTGCACTCCAAATTTATACGGAAACAGGCCGGATCCTGGGTCAACTGCTATCCTAATGGAAACAGAAATAAACCGTGACCCACCATGATGAAAATTAGCATGAGATGGACTGTAACTGCTAAGGTTGGACAACAACGCCTAGCCCGACAACGCAAATAAAGCTCTGCAGGCAGGCAAAGATTCTGAAATAGACTTTTGAAATCTTTTAAGGCACTGACCATAAAGGAAAGAACATGACGCGTTACACGTACTGCATCAAGATCCAGAATTTAGTTCACCAGAGACCCAGCAACGCGAGGGCGGGAGGCAACCTGCCCGACGACTTCTACAGAGGACCAGGATGCGAAACGTGTGAATGATCCTTACAAAGCACCAGGAAAAGGCAGATGACTCGAATACAAAATGGGCAAGAGATGCGACCAGGTGCTTTTATAAAAGATGGACTTTGAATGACCAATCACCACGTGACGAGGTGCTCAGAGCCTGTGATCACAGGGCCTGTAATCAGCAGACACTACGAATGGCTGGCATTTAAAAGCAAAGCAGAACCCACCTTGGCAAGGATGTGGAACCCGAAGTCTCACGCTCTGCCGCGTGAACGACACGGCCGTGAAGAACCGCTTGGTGACACGTACCGAAGCCAAACCGGCACAAACCTGTGCCCCAGCAAGGCCACCCTAGGCGCACACCCCACAGAAACACATGCATTTGCTCACCGGTCATTCACTGGAACAACGGAGCAGCGTGCTCTCCAGTAGCCAGAAACTGGAACCCTCCCGAACGTCCCTCAACAGCAGAATGGACAACTAGTGTCACGTCCCAGGGTACTTACTGTCCGGCGACATGCGTGAACAAACTCCACCTGCACACGGCGACACAGACGAACCTCACGGACGGCATGGCAGGCAGGAGCGGACACTCGCAAAAGTGCGTCCCATGGACCCCGTGGTAAAACCTCAGCCCCGGCCCAACTGATCCGCGCTGCTGGGGGCGGGGGCGGAGGTTTGTTGCGGGTGCCAGCCACCGGCCACGCTGCTTCCTGAGGAATGAGGGCCCGCAAGAAGGCTGACTGGTGGAAACACACCCATCTGAACACTCCGGGCTGCGGGGAGAGAGGGAGGGAGAGAGGGAAGGAGGTGGGGAAGTGGGGAAGGAAGGTGGGAGGGAAGGGGGGAATATCAACTCCTCGGAGACCATCAAAGATCCAAACATGCCGACCCGGCTGGTCCATTCCACCTGCACTGTTTCCCACAGACTTTCTGGGCAAGGAGGTGACAGTTCCCAGGTCTTGCTACCATATTCTCACAAACAGCACGTACACTGAAAACATCTGCCAAATCAAAACTCACAGAAGCAGCAGGGCGCCACGCCATGCCACACCGTGCCATCCCGCGTCCCTGTGACGCGGATGCAGGCTGCGCGGGGCCAGGAGGCCCGCGGTCGGGTCGCAGAGATGAAACACGCATGAAGCAATTTTCCATTTAAATGCGTTTCAATTAGTTAATTTAATTTCAATTTAACTAATCAAAATTAATTTAAACTTTAATTTTAATCAAAACAATACTTTTAACTCCATGATTTTCCTGAGTCCTGTTAACATGGTGAGCTTTTTAAATAAGCACTATTTTGTTCAGAAAACATCCTTAATGAAACACGGGCCGCAAGGTCTACCAGTTACGCTTCGTAAGAGTGTCACTTTATGACAGATGGTCACGCAGTGGAAGACTGGGATGTTTTTCCCCATAATTCGTTGGACACACTTTTATTTTAGTTTCCTGAGAGGCTCCAACCTTGAGTAATAAAGTCTGATCCGGCGCGTCCCAACTGGAAGCCTTTCACCGAAACTCAGCAACGCCAGAGTGGCCCAATGACAATGACCAGGCCCCTTCCCCGCGTCCGGAGGGGCCGGAGTCGGAGTTTGGCGCGGGCACTGGCACTGGCAGCAGCGACACCAGGGCCACTGGGCCGTATTACGCAGACGCACGGCATGCACGATGCACCCACTTACACACGCACGCATGCACACACGCACGTGTGCGCACGCACACACATGTGCACAAAAATGCACAAACACACACACGCACACATGCACATGCGCAAACACGAATGTGCAGGCACACATGTACGCACACATGCACACACGTGCACACGCACACTCAAACTCGTGTGTGCAGGCACACAAGCACACCCACACACGTGCAAATGCAGACGCACACACGACGCATGCACACATGCACATACGCGCATGCACGATGCACCCACTCACACTCACGTGTGTGCATGCACGCATGTATGCACACACATGCACACAGGCACGCATGTGCGCACATGCACATGCATGCACACACACAGATGCAGACTTGCACACGCACGCGCACATGCACAGGCGTGCACGCGTATGCGCAAACACACACACATGCATGCACAGGTGTGTGCATGTACACTCAAACACACGCAGATGTGCACATGCATGCACGCACGTGCGTGCACGCGCCTGCAAGCACACGTGTGCGTGCACATGCACAGGTGTGCGCATGTACGCGTGAACTCACACATATGCACACACGTGCATGCACACATATGTGCACACACACGCACACACACACCTAGGCAACAGTCTGCCAGCAGCGACTCCACATCAGTCCTCACCACAGAGGGCAACGGCCTCCCCGGCCCTGGTCCCCTCCAGATGGCCACGTCACCCACTGATAAAGAGCCACCCCCTAGTTTTCACTCGTGCAGCCATCCTGGTGAAATAAACTCCTGAGATTAGGGTCCAAATGGAGAAAGCGTCCAGGTGAAACTGTTTCTTTGGCTGCTGAATAAAATGATTTTAGAGTTAAAGATTCCAGCAGTCAGGGCCTGGACGTGACTTTCAAAGCGTGACACTCAACAGATCAGTGTCGTCACACAGCCATGAGCCCACGGCAGATGCCAAAGGCCACGGGTGTCCCAGGCAGGCAGATGGCTGCAACCCCACGAGGAAAATGGGGCCCAGATCAGTGCCCTACACCGGACACCCCCAGGGCAGGTGACAAGCGGCCTCATAACCTTTCCACTGTCACCGCCATGAATCAAGGACATGCCGCTTCGCCAACAAGAACCCGCCAGCTCTGAGTCACGTGAGAATGAAACCAGCGCGGACAGCAGCCGCGAGGACCGAGGCGCGGCTGAGTGGACACTGCCGCCCCCGTCCCCCGACCGCGCGGAAACCACTGCTTCGAAGAGGGGGGTGAAGGACGTCGGGGGGCCCTGCGGGGGCCGTGAAGTCCATCTGTCCCCATAACGCCGAGATGCGTGTACGACACCCCACTCCCTCGTGCGTGTACAGCGCCGTTCCCAGAGGCTGCGTGACGGGTGACACGGGAAGCGCCGTCTCCCGCCCAGCCAGACACTGCAGAGGCCACTGCAGGGCAAGGGCACCTCCCTGCTCACGGCGCGCTCGGCTGCTCCTCACGGAAAGCACGTACCCCAGATTCACGGGGCGGCCTCACCTCGTTTTCTGTGTTCATTTCCAGTAGAGTGGGCAACGACGGAGACCGGCCGCGTGAGCGGCAGCTCGCTGGGGTCCCCACTCGTGTCTGGGAGCAGAGGGACGGGGCACGGCGGAGTTGGAGAGCAGTGCCACAGGTGCACTCATGTTCTGCCTTGGGAGACACGCTGTGACGGCTCCGCGTGCCACATGCGACGGAGGCGAAGCCAGGAGACGTGAAGGGACCTACTGTGAGGGACTCAGGGGCAGTGCTGGGTGACAGAGAGAGGTCCACGGTGCAGCCGTGCCTGCTGCCAACGCGCCGTCACACCCCACTTTATTTTTTCGGTCTTTATGTGGAAGGGTGTCACCAAGGCAACAGAACAGCTTCCTGGAACACTTCGCGACCGACAGAAGCTAAGCCAGTTTGGAAACTAGAAACTGGCCTTGGGAGGCCTGAGGTTGGCCAGCCACCGGCCACCAGCCACTTCCTCGGCTCAGAGACCAGACCCGGGAAGGGGCCAGAGGCCAGGGCCAGGGTGACGGGCCAGGGTGACGGGGTCAAGGCTCCTGGTGCCAGAGCGCCCACAGTTCTGCACTTCGGTCCCCATAAACGCATGGCTGGACCCAGCGCTCGCAGTGCTGGCAGCCAGCAGACGTGGCCAGGAGCCACAGGGACAGCAGCAGCCACGGGGACGTCCGGAAGGGGTATCCCCGCTGCGCACCCAGCTTCCTGGGGAGTGGGGTACGATTCAGGGTCCCTTTAAAGTCCTACTTCCTAAACGTCCTTATTGCTGAGATCATCTACAAGAAGCGCTGTTACTGTGATGAACAAGCAAAGCCATTTTTATTTTAAAATTAAACGAAACCGCTGCAGACGATGACGGCAGGCAGAACGGCCCCCTGGCTTGGCCTCTTGTGGACGCAGCCGCCAGGCGCAAAGGTGTGACAGGCTCCCGCGACCCAGCGAGATGCGAGCCCGGAGCCGCGGCCGCAGCTGCCCTTCCATCGAACAAGGCAAGGACTCCACGTGCGGGGTGCAGAGAGGGGACCGGCACGGAGGAGCCTGGGCAGCTGCCTCTGCCATGGCATCTGGGTCCTGCCACCATCAGCCCGACTTCCACCCGGGGACAGTGGCCCAGCACCACAGCGCCCTATCACGTCTGCACCCTCTTTTCGCAGACAGAGCCCAACAGATTTGGCAGCACAGGGCAGCGCACTCCACGGCCGGGCCACTCGCTCCGGGGCGGACTGCAGGGTCCTCAGCGCAGAATCCCGACCGTCTTCAAGGTCGCCCAGGAAACGGACTCAAAAACACAGATGCGATGCTGATACCTACCCATGCACCAGCCACACTGCAAAGGGACAGCAGCAAACACACCGATGAGGGCGTCACAAAGTTCTGGACATGTCTGAACTGGCACTGAAACCCCGGCCCCACGAGAAGCTCAGGCCAGGGGCTCCCCGCCCCTCCAAGGCGGTGACCACAGGTGCGGTCCTCGGGGACAGGAGACAAGCCAACCAGAGCCACAGAGCAGGCCTGTGAGAACGACTGGGCTCCAAGACAGAGTGGGCAGAGGACCAGGCCCCACGGTCCTGGGAGGGACAGCAGGGTCGGCGGGAGGCCGGGGAGGAAGGGACTGCGCTCAGGTGAGAGCAGGAAGTGACAGGTGCCCGCGGGGCCTCCAAGGGGGACGTGGAAGAAGCAGGACGGGGCGGTGTGAGCCCGCCCCGGGCAGAGTGAGGAGAGGGTCTGCAGGGCGTCGAGGACACCAACTTGGCAGTGAGCAAGGCAGAGCGGCCATGTGGGAGGAGGCCACGAGGTAGGAGGCATGGCCGAGGAGGGGTGGCCACAGCTGTGGGGGAAGGCCAAGGAGGCCGGTGACCGGCAGGCAGTGGAACCCCGTCTCTGCCCCAGGGCCAACCCCATCCCTCCGTCCACTCTCTTCCCCCAAACAGTCCCCAAACACCTGCCCTGCGCCTGATGCCCTGGACCAGACCAGCCCACTCACCACCGGTCCCAACGGCCAGGCTGGGGCTCCTGGTGGCCTGGAGGGGAGGGGAGGCAGAGACCTGCCATGAGACCAGAACAGGGCATCCCACGAGCAGACGCCACGAGCAGACGCCACCCGCACACGGAGCACCGGGCCTCAGTGGGGCGACACTTCACAGCATGCCACGCCCACCTCCCTTCCCACAACCAGGGCAGGGGACACACGACACGCCACTCACCGTTCCGATCAGGGCACGCAGGGACACGACACGGTCGCTCGCCGTTCTGACCACCCCAAACGGTTCCCCATCTCAAACACAGGCTCCAAAGAGCGCAGTCGAGAAGTCCCATGAGGCAGGGTGGGGACCTGGGCCACTGGCCTCGAGC